TATGGAATCGAATGTAACTTTGTCTAGATAACCTGTAATTTTATATTTCAACACATAATATTTTGAAAATGTATGGCATGTTGGCATTTGCTAACAAATCCATTGCACTTCGTATAATTAATTTTATGCATTAGCCATAAATTATTGCAGGAATCAGGCCCGCTCATTTGCAATGCGCTGCTGAAACGTTTAATTATATCTAAACGTATCAAATCAAATGCCATAGCTCTGCGATCTAATCCAAAATACAACATTTAAGCGCAAATAATTACTGTGATTAATATCATAACAATGTAGTGTCAGGCGGATTATATACGTTGGAGCGTTTGCGCTTAGGCGTACGTTTGATTGATTAGCATTCAGTTTATGTAGGTCTTGGGATTTACTCGTGTTGCGGATTTAAACTTTGCCAGTGCTTGAGTTTCTGTAGCTTTGTAGGTACCTATTCAAATGTAACTTATGTAAGTATACGAATAGGTTATACCTACATGCATAGATTAGGTAAGTTAAACACAATTAGTTATATGGACGCAGTTTGTAATATTTAAGGAGCGCATACTTACATAGTTTTTACGCAAAGAGATCTAAATCAACACTACAACGGGAGCCCAGGAACGTAGCTGAATAAAAGTTTAGTTTCACATGAAAAAGGATTTTTTTATTTTATTGTACATTAAGGATTAGCTTCAAAATGTAGATAATTTAATTTAGTTTATTAGCTTACTTAAGAGTAATAAACGTTTCACTAATTACGAATTGGTCAACTCTTAAATAATGTATTTAGTTAGATTTTATTTATTTAATTAATGATTAAGGCACATGACATCACTGTGTTATCAAAGAATGATCAAAGTAACAAAAATTGCGCATTTTATTTTCTTTTGTAGGCCAAAAAATGTTTAGGTCTTTTAGTGATTTGTGTCAGTACTCAGTACCCATTACCTTCCTTTGCTGTAATGGCATATTCAAAGAGTAACAATAAAATAATGATAAAAGTAAAATAAAGCGAAGGTAAAAGGTATATTAGCTATAAACATTATGTGTTCAGAGGGCTCGAATTCTGACAATGAGTAGGGTACGACAGTATTGTTTGTAAGTGACGCCTTTGGGCGTTATCGACGATTTTAGCTCCTGTTACTGGGTAATAAGGATTTTTGGCGGAAAATTTAAAAATGTGCTCGCAGATTCTTTTCGTACGCTGGCGTGCGCTGGCTTTGCAGATTTTGATGGTCTTAGCACAGTAGATATTTAATGCTTGTAGATTATTTTATGTAGCGTACTAGTGATTATTTTGCCCATTACTTATGGAATTACTATACTTAAAGTTAGGGTCTATTAAACCACAATTTAGTGTTGATCCATGCTGCTTTTTCTCAATTAAAATTAAATAGATACTGAAACTGATAGAGAACTTCGTACAACTACAAAGTAGAGCTGTGTCCTGTGGAGGCCTACGTTATAATATTAAACGAGTAATCACAAAATCGCTAGTTTCTTTTATAATGTAGAGTGAGGACTATTAATTAGGTAGGCAAATTTTTGTTTTATAGTGTATTATTAGCAGTCGTATAAAATGTTCGTAATGTACTGTTACAATATTTTCTCCATTCCGCTCGGGGTGACATCTGACGATTCTCGAGCGGAGCGTCTTGGAGCTGGAATAACAAGAGGGACGGACGGCAAATCCAAGCCAACTCGGGGATTTGTAACAAAGTACGTATGGCTTACCCAGCTCCGGCTCCGGTCCTACGTAATGTGCCTGAAGCGGCACAGATGCTTGCGCCAGATTTTCAATGTGGTCTCAATTTCTTAGCGTCGTGTTTCGCTCCGAGTTTATTATGTGGACGCGGAATTTGGAATTTGTGACTTTCAAATGTAAAGTTTACTTGCTTTCTGGTTTTTGTTTCTACCACGCATTATAACATCCTACTACACGTATTATAAACGTGATAGTTGGATGAAGATGGATAGATGTTTGTTACTCTTTCACGCAGATCCTTCTGAAGTCATCATTTCAGCCACAGGTCGTCCAATGCTTTCCATGTTGATTGATTGGTAGCGGCCTGCGTCCAGCGATTCCCTGATACCTTTATGATGTCGTCGGTCCACCTTCTGGGTGGACGTCCTACGCTGCGTTTTTCGATATTGAGGTTGAGTTGCACCAGCTAACTTTAACCCTAACAATAACGATAACCGGTGTTTTTTTTATGGAGTTTGGCAGATTTTTTACGTGTGTTAAAGTTAAAGTAAGATGGTGCAACCCAGCCTAAGTCAATTTTCCAAATTACAAGGATTGATGTCAAGTAAGTCTCTGTGACAAATTGAAATACGACGCGGGTGAAGCCGCGGGCAATAGCTAGTAAATAATGTAACGATATCCTGAAACATATTTTAATGACTGATTTAATGCGGTCTTTACGGAATATTTCCCAGACAGACAATCCGCCGTCTACCCAAACAGTACAAAGGCTTTGAAATAGACGAGATAGACCCAATTAATACATTTGATCATTATTGTAATATAGGTAGGTACTTACTAACATTAGTTAACGCGAAGGATCGAGAAACCCTGTATGAATGTAGACGTGTGAGTGATTAAGAATAGTTAAATTATGTAGAGCATTAACTATTCTTTATTAATTGTAACATTACATTAATACTCGTCACAGAAAAGTTTTATTACATTTTATTGATATTATATCCAAGAACATTTCGCATTTGAAATACATCCTACTTATTAAGTTTTATTATTTTATTCACCTAATTTGGGAAGAATTATAACTGGGGTGACTCTAGCTAGCAAAACAAAATTAAGAAGTAAAAAAAAGGAACCTTTAAGTATTTTGGCTTTCATTTCCAGGCAAAAAGACTTAAGTACGATTGTTGATTTCGGAAAAGTTACCAAAGTACGGGCCGAAGTTTTCACCTGTCTCTTACACTTTTTGGTTTTATTTTTATGATTTTCATTTATAAGTCCAGAGTAAGAAGCTTGTGGTTGTTGGAAATTTTCGTGCCGAAAAGTTTTCATAAATAGGAAATATTGACGAATATGAAAAATAAATGAGGCAGAAAAGAAGAAGGATGGGAACACGTAGACCGTGCTATAGTAGGCAGGCCTCCCACTAGGTACCTAAGGAAGTAGGATAACGCCTGGATGTGGGCAGAGCAGGGCTGGTCTTAATGAAAAAATTACGAATTCAAAAACAAAAATGCTCATGAAATAAACCTACTCGACCAAATCAAATAATTTTTTTATGGGACCATATGGTAACTTTTTCACTTCGAAAAAAAAAGAATTAACATTTTAAAAAAATCAACCGAATTGAGAACTTCCTACTTTTGTTGAAGTCGGTTAATGAAAACAAAACAAAATGAAATTATTTATTTCAGTACCTACTTTTATGTACCAATCATCGATGTAAGTGTTCATAAATGATACATTCCGCGTAAAGTGGTACGGTGTAAAGTAATACGGGCGAATGTGGGCAGCGAATAGCGACAGCGCGCCAATTACGGCGGGCAATTTGTCGCGTCACTCCGCGCGATGGCCGCTCCCGTAACAGTGCGGTGACATGACACCCTGTAGCCACTACCATTGACACTGATGCAGTCAAGGATTTCGCGAAAAAATCAAAACAAATCAATCAACCGCGAAAAAATTTATCATCATCATCATCTCAGTCATAGGATGTCCACTGCTGAACATAGGCCTCCTCCAATGCTTTCCATATTACTCAGTTGGTAGCAGCCTGCGTCCAGCGCTTTCCTTCTACCTTTATGATGTCGTCGGTCCACCTTGTGGGTGAACGTCCCACGCTGCGTTTTCCGGTACGCGGCCTCTGTCGCGGACCGGTCTTGACGCACGGGAGGAGACGTGCGGGAGGAATCCCACCACCACGAGCAGCGCGCCGTCCGCCGAGCGCGCCACACACTCGATTGGGCCCCCAGCCGTACATAGCACGTATTACTCGTTCGGACCTCCAACTCGCGATCGCCATTTTGTATCACCACGTCGTAGTTTAATACTTAAACCTAATTGTAAACGGCTATTAAACCAGCCCTATTGAAATACAGTCCACTCTTTCATTTAAGTTCCCAGTAGGACCCTTTTCATTGGTCCTTCTTCGCAAAAAGTCGCGCGATTAGGAAATAGTATCGGACTGTCGACGTACGCAAGATTTCAAGAGCTCTTCAGGGCGGTCTTCAGCAGCAAGATTTCTTCGGGAACCTGACAGGTCTTATCCCTGGTGAAGAATCTACGCATCGCAGCCACTGAAGCTCAAGAAAGAAGCTTTTTAGCCGATCGACCAACGAGTTGGACTTTGGACCCGTCGATTGTTCGAGGCGTAGCGAGGAAACGAACTTGGATCGGAAGCCGGTTTGGGTATTTTGTGAGTTCGTTCCAATTTATTTCCTTCTTTTTCCCTTTCTTTTCGCTACAGAATTGCTAATAGCCCAATTTAGTGAGTGCATATTTTCATTTCATTGCAATTTAACATCTTTTTCTTAATTCATACTTGTTTTATCAGTGCTTAAAGCTTACGTCAAAACCGTGCGAACGTCAAAGTGCATCTTGTAAATAAATAATTACGTGCACAAATCTATTTATAGCCACCGGCCGGCTCGCACAGCTGTTCTTTTGTTCGCCCGAATCCTTATCGCACTGCTTGCCGCATTCTTTTGTCCCGTTAATTTGCATAAAGTAACCTTTCCATTCATAATTCTTATCTATATTTTTTGCCGTAGTTTCGTTATTTATTGATAATTTGGGCAATAGTTTTTGTTTTTTATGAATTAAGATGGCTCAATCAAAGGAACACGAAAGACTAACAAAGAAACGTAGCTGTTTGAAATCAAAATTAACTATTTTTCATAACTTCATTTCCCTTCTTAAGACTTGCACTGAACCTAGTCAGGAACAATATTTAGACCTGGAAGGGCGCTTAAACAAATTTGATGCCATATACCCTATTTTTGATGATTTGCAGTCTGACATCGAGATGCTTACGGAGGATTCCGACGCTGAAATGAAGGAACGCGAGCAGTTTGAAGACCAGTACCACAAGCTGGCCGCGGCCGCGCGGGGCTTGCTCAGCGCGCGTCGCTGCCAGCAGCGCGATAACGGTTCCGTTTCGAGCAACGATGATGTTCAGGCGAGTAATTCTCACTTACATAATTGCGTTCAACTGCCTAAAATTGACTTGCCCATTTTCCATGGTAATTATCAGCACTGGCTTAAGTTTAGAGACACCTTGTCACTCACCTTACTTACGAGGAAATGTCTACGTGCCTCACGCAAGTTGAGGCTATTCTTAATTCACGTCCCTTGACCCAGCTTTCATCTGATCCTTTTGACCTTTCCCCCCTTACTCCTGCTCATTTCTTAATTGGACGATCACTCATATCCATACCGCATCCGCAAATCATAGACGATCACATAACTCGCCTTGACCGCTACAAAAGAATCGAGCACATCAAACAGCATTTTTGGCAACGCTTCTCGCTGGAGTACGTTAGTCAGCTGCAACAAAAGCTCAAGTGGCAAGACTCTAGGAGCGAGATAAAACTCGGCTCCCTTGTTCTCATTAAGGACCGTACTCTTCCTCCCCTGCTATGGTCGTTAGGAAGGGTAATCGCAACCTACCCTGGGAGTGATGGAATCGTCAGAGTCGCCGAGTTGAGGACAAAAAGAGGAACCATCCGAAGGGCCTTTAATAACATCTGCCCTCTTCCAGAACTTTGAAGCCTTCTTCAGCAGCCTTCAACCCGGGGAGCATGTCGCGGACCGGTCTTGACGCACGGGAGGAGACGTGCGGGAGGAATCCCACCACCACGAGCAGCGCGCCGTCCGCCGAGCGCGCCACACACTCGATTGGGCCCCCAGCCGTACATAGCACGTATTACTCGTTCGGACCTCCAACTCGCGATCGCCATTTTGTATCACCACGTCGTAGTTTAATACTTAAACCTAATTGTAAACGGCTATTAAACCAGCCCTATTGAAATAAAGTCCACTCTTTCATTTAAGTTCCCAGTAGGACCCTTTTCAGCCTCCACTCCAGAACCTTGCTGCCCCATCGGCCGTCAGTTCTGCGTATTATGTGCCCTGCCCATTGCCACTTCAGCTTGCTAATCCGTCGGGCTATGTCAGCGACGAAAAAATTTATAGTGAAAGTCAAAGATTTTATGTGACTGAGAGATAGAGACTGACAATGTTGTTCATGCAAGATGCGGGCTGCATTCAGTGTGACCTGACCGCTGACCGCAGAACGCATCAAATATAGCAAATCCTAGAGGCAATTCAAATTTAATATTCCTACTTGTTCATCCACATCCTATTCTATATTGTAAATGTAGCAAACATTGAGTTGTGAGAAACATTACATTTGTGCCAGATAAGGGTATGTCACCAAAAAAGATGAATATTTACTAACTAATTGCGACAGTTTAATTTTCCTCTGGTTCAAACTTGGTTTCGCCTCGGTTTTGATTGGCGGTAAAACCGATCCTGGCTACACAGAGGTTGCAGCGATGGGAACAGTCCCGTATGCCTTTGAGTTTATTTAACTTTATTTGCTAAAGTTTTACCAACAAGGATCTAAATCTTGAATTTTATTTAGGAAAGGGTTTCAAGCGCTGGCTGCTAACTAACTCCAAAGCCTAAAAGCCTTATTAATCAAATGAGCTGTCAAGAGTTAAATAGGGTTTTTTGATCCAATAAGGTGGAGATTTGGTTGATTTTAATTTAATGTTTCAAATTGAATTCATCAATACTTACATTTCAAAAGTTTATTAACTAGCAAAGGTTTACAAGAGGTCCATTATAAAATATGGTTCGAGCGAAACCAGTTCAAAATCAGTTTTGTACTGAAACACTTTTTTCAGTACAAAACTGAATACCACAACCCACAATACTTTTAAATTTTGTTGCTCTCAATAAACAATATAAATCAAAAGGAAAAGATAATGAGTAAACAACATGAAATTCTAAGAAAAGTATTGTATAGGACAAGTTCCACGACAATCTTAAAATAAACAACGTGAAAATGTTTACTCGTGTACAAAATCAATTAATCCTGTTCTTTGTAATGAAAAAAAGTTTAATCTTCAAAGAAAGATCAAAATAGAACACATCGTGCCTTATCTCGTACCTTCGCCACTTGTGAGTTCCACTCCCTTGGTAGCATCGATAGCACTGCAGTTCATACAAATTCATACACATTGTAGAGATAGGATAACAGTAAATTCAGATTGCCTATACGCGTGCATGTAGTTATTACTTAGTCGTTTCATTATAGACTTGATTGATGTATCGTTGTGTGAATTTACAAGCGATTCCGCGTATAGGATTTAATATTTTTATGAAGGTAAAAAATATGAAAGCAAATGACGGTGATGCGTTTTTATGAAGAGCTACACTGGTGAAAAAAGAATTTAAAATATGACATGAAATAAAAAAAAAAATTACGAATGAGCCTTTTTTATATGAATGAGTCATGAGCTCAATACTTGTAACATTGATTAACGCCCGTATTCATAAACGATGCTTGCTTAAGTGAAGCAGCAAATCGAATGAACAGCGTTGAATAGAGCTCTGTGATTGGTTCGTGTGTCACCCTGTGAGTCCACGTGCACTGTGAGACCTCAAAGTAATGTTTGTGAATACAGGCGTAAGAATACCTGTTGTAAGTAACTAGGTATTCATTAATAAGGTTGCTAACGAGTTTCTCTACATCAATGCCCTCAATGTCATTAATAATAATCTGTTAAGGCTGCCAGTTTAATCTATTCAGTGACCAAACTCTCAGAAACTGGTCAAAATACAAACTAACTGAATCATCATTTCAGAAATTCACGAAGTAACAGTAGCCCCTTTGACAAAACACAGCTTCAAAGTGGTTGCATGTGAGTGAGGGCGCCTTGTAAGGAGCTTCCCGTAAAAGCGCCGGTTTATCACGTGCATAAGTAAGCCCGAAATATGCAACGTCGTACGTACTACATTCTAACTTAGTTCTCTAGTCGACGAGGTAGCTATTTTCAAATCACTCACTTCGAAATCATGTCTTAACTAGGTAACTATATTTTAATTAAATTGCATGTAACCACATGTTGCACGTTAAAATTTAGTTTTTAACTAAATTTCAACTTGCAACATGCTACGAAATTCTGTGTTTACATGCAATTAAATCGCTTAAAATTAAGTTGCCTACTTAGCTACTTAATACGTGCAAATCAGCCTTTACAGAACAAGTTGGCGCCACTGTCTTAGTCACTAGTAGCGAGTGCCAGAACCTTACTCCACAATGACGCGAACTGGTGAGGGCAAATACGATATTGAGATTCATCACACACCCAATTTTTCAGTTAGGCCCATATTAATGAGATGTCTTTATAGATTGGAAGGAAAACACTCTTGAAAACAAAGGCCATTTTGGAAAATTATTTCCGTGAACGAAGTGGATATCCAATTATGAAAAGAAACCGATAATTGTCGATTATCTATCTCCTTATACTGTCAAATGAATGTTAGGATGATTAACTCATCAAATTATTTTTATGACATTCGTTTTAAAGAAATGAAAAATTCAACTGCCGTGTATGAAGGTTAGGAAAAGGATTAGTAAAATATTATCATTTAAAACAATTCACTGTTCACAACAAAGTTTTGGAAAGTTACAATGTTGTTGTTCATACTCAAATGTCAAATTAAAATAACGAGCGCAAGTTAGTTACGGTCAGGATAATATGTTAATTTAGTTACACTATTCTGACCCTGCATAGAAAATGAGTGGAACGTGGTGAAAGTTTCTAAATATACGAGTATTTGCTTCATTTTTACCCCGTTCGAAAATGTTGGAACCGGGCGAAAGGTCTCGAGTGGTTTCAGTGTAGCCCCCTTGAATAAGTTTGTGTTACGTTACCTTGAAGTGTTTCTTGCCCCGGAAAGGTCTGGGCTTAATCTGCATTTCCTTTCTTGAGTTTTTCCTTGCAGATAATTATTATTGAACATAATAATCATACTCGTATATCTACTGGAAATAATCAAGTACTATATGTATAGCTAGTTACTCTAATAAGGGTAAAAGCCTCACGGCTCGTGTTACCAATACATAGATCTTATGTATAAAACAAAAATAAACGTTCAGAAGAAAGTAAATACAAAAAATACGAACGAAATTACGGGTATATTTTTTATTCACAAAAAAGTAGGAAAACAACAAACAAAAACTTCGTAAAGTATCGCTGTGTATCGAATCGTGAAGCAGTGTTTCTATCTTAATTAATTCGACAAAGGCCCTTTGTCCAGTTCAACACAAAGTGTCTATTTTCTTTACTACGCGACAGTTTTCTTGGGCAAAGGTTCTTAAACTGTTTTCTTAAAAGACAATACATCATTTTATGTATTCACAATTGTGACAATCCTTTGTGATTTTTTGTAACTTTTATAAGAAGGTAGGTTTCATTTACGCGTGCAAATGAAACAGATGTGTGGAAAGTGGTAAGGTACTCGTGTGAAGATTTATTTTAACCTCTATTCTACCTTATTTATTTCAATCATGATTACTTCGGAATAAGTACCTACAGCTACCAAAAGTTACTCTAACGTTACGAAATGTGTTACATTTCTGGAATATTACTTATACAAACTTAGCAGTCTGTCAGATGCCTTAACTTGGCAGGATCTGAAACCCCACAACCACCACCAATCACTTAATGAGTCGGCGTTCGTGGAATTGCCCAGCATCAAGGTGCTCTGTAACTAGAGTATTAAGCCGACGTTAGCTAGATTAACTTAGGTATGTAGTTTAGATATGTATGTAGTTATAGTAGGTAAAACTAGTTGTAATTCCTAGGAATTTCTGTATTAATTTGCAAAACTTTATGTTGAAGCAAATACAAGTTACCTACTTATTAAAGCCGTTTAATTAACGATTCAATTCAGATTTTTACTTTAAGATCGGTAAAATGACATAGCAAGTTCGTAAGTAATCGAGATACCTAGTGTCAATTATTAAATTCTGAAAGAAATTGGTCCATGTAGTCGCTATCCTAATCGTAATCGCCATGCCTTTGAAAGCGATTGAGACGAATGTCCTTCAGCTTAGCTGCCATTGACGCAGGTAGTGTTGAAGGCCACAGGTCTGGTGGGTGACAGGGGGCGTTCTATCGTCATCAATATCCGTTTCGGCGGTTTATCCTGACGGCCTTTGAAACGGCCACAATTACACACACGTCAGCAGCAGGACTGAGCCTAGATAAAAATATTTGTTGAGGTCTGGATATAGTATAAAGCTTTATAGTAAACAGTCTGGAGTTTAGGTTTGGGCTAAACCCGATATAAATATTGGCCAACGTGTTTTCTGTGTACATACTGTCTATACTTAAAACTGACCTTAAGAATTTCAGGAAAAATCTAAGGCTGCAAATACACGCTACATGGTTCCTTTCTTCCAGTTTTCCATAAAAATGTCACTATATCATACCTATGTAATGTGTTATCGCAGCTATATATGAATGAAACGATTTATTTAATATACGGCTTCGACTTATTTGAGGCAAATCAAGTAATAGGTAGGTAGTGTGGCATTTTTCAACATATACGTACACTATCATAAATTGGCTTGGCTGAAATGAACGAATTCTTTGTCGGACATGATTAATCTCAATCACTATCTGAATTCCATTTTATTAAACAAACTAAGAAGCTTATACCACAGATTACAAATAAGTTACTAACTATACTCACATTCAAAATAGATCACCGTTAAGACAAAATATTCCGTTAGGTGAGCGAACACATGACATATTTACTCAGAAGAGCTTGGAGTATGAGCACTCAAGCTTAGGGTTATTCTGTTGTACACATCTCCAATCTAAAATACCTTCTCTGAATATTATTTGAGACGTTGCCCGCTCTGTTTGAAATCCGACTCAGTCCCGTCGAGTTAGGTTCTACTTTGCATTATAGTTGTTTGAATTTATGACGTGCCGGTACACTTT